CAGTAGAAAAAACATTACGCCTATGGAGAGTCCCCACAAGGATAGTAAACCAGACATGAGTGTGTGTGTGTGTGTGTGTGTGTGTGTGTGTGCGCGCAGAAGCATGAGAGTACATGTATCCTGAACAGTTAATGTTTCTCTTATTTCCAAACTCCTCTATTCATTTTCAATGGAAGGTCATTTTTGACCAATATAATCTCAGCTCAATGAGGCCTACGATTGAAAAATAAATACAAAGCCTGACCTAATTGAAAGAAAACAAGTTATCCAAAAAGTTACAAAAATCGAATCCAATATTTGGTGATAATGTAGCATAATGAGAAATTCATAAGCAATTTTTTGTAGGCCAGTCATTCTGACCAGGAACACCACAAGTGTAAGAAGGTGGTGGGGGTAAAAAAAAAATCCCCCAAAAAAGTACAAAAAATGATGGGAAGTTATTATACCCCGAGTGAGTAAAGTCAGTACGTTTTAGCAATAACATTAACTTGCATTTTCAGGAAAAAGAAAATCCTCTCCAGGTCAAAATGACTGTAACACAACGAGAGGGTTAAAGTCAGTCATACAGGTTTAGATATCATGAGAGTGAGTAAATAATGACAGGATTTTCCTTTTTGGGACCTATTTCCCAAATATTTTCCAAAGAGTTTTTTTTCCCCTTCTTAAGCATAAAATGATATATGATTGTACAGAACTCATGTGGTTGCCTTATTTAACACTGAAACACTGGTCAATTTAAGGGTGGGCAACATAACCAAAATCTTATAACATGATATAATTATTACACGATAACTAAATAACTTACTAACTATTATTTATTTATTCATTCATACTGACTATTAATAAGCAGCAAATTGGAGTTTACCGAGGCAAAAGTAATAGTTAATACTATGTTAATAGTGAAAATCGGTGCCCAAACTAAAGTGTGACCTAAATTATGCACATTTGGAAAAGAAAACATATTTATAGGCATATTTCAGTAGGTTTAATGTGATTTATGTTTTATACAGAGCATGTAATTCATTGTTTTAGACAACGGACAGCCCTAAAATGAAGTAATAATAATAATAATGCGTTCTCATGTGTAACTGTCCGTGTGTAGATGCAATTAATGCTGTAATTAAGTCGAACACGGAAATAGTTGTGCAAGCAGTCCATTTCTCTCTAGAGGTTGTTTATGGATATGTGACTATGCTCTCATTAGCGGCTTACTTCACAGCCAATCAACGCTCACAGACAGCAGCTTCACAGGCCCCACTAATTATTACACCTAATGATGAATGCTACGTGTAATAATTACTGTCACTTAGTCAGATGTATACCTTTATTTGGAAACATTTCCAGACCCGTCCAAACTTCAGAACGTCTGTACGGATCAACAACATCTTGAACAGATTGTGCATAATTACTGGTGTTTCCGTGTCGTAAGCTAGTTTAGCCAATGAGTGAGCCAATGGTGGAAGTGGAGCGGAGAACGCTTTGTCTCTCAGGAGTCGAGGAAGGGTTTGAGAGCGGCGAACAGCAGAGCTGGATGGAAATGCAGTTAGCTCTTGCTCACGCATATTACACCGGGGCATAAATCAAGACGGGGAGAGAGCAGCAAACGCATTAGACGCCCAGCGGGACGGTGTATACACTGAGTTTGAAGGGCAGATATCAGGCTGGATGGATGAGGCCTACCACACGATTGAGCTGAACTCTCAGCTGAATCCAGACTATAAGATTTCCTACACAGACATGAGACGGGTATATTGATGACTCGATGCAATCTGGGAGTGTGTGTGCGTGTGTGTGTGTGTGTGTGTGTGTGTGTGTGCGCTAGAGAAAACTAGAAAACTAGAAACTGAAATGTCACAAAAAGAAAGTATTACCTTTGTTTATCTTTGGCTTTGTCTGTCTCTTTGTCTTTAGTTCTGTCCCGTGTCCGGTCTTTGTCTCGGGTTCGGCGCTGGCCACGATCGCGATCTCTGCTGCGACTGCGAGACCTTCGGTGACGCGAGTGAGACCTCCAAGAAACACACAATACCCAAACATTACACTGAAACTGATCTAAAACATCTAAAGCAACTTGAAAAAGCAAAACCAGTCCCAAGTAGGGGTTGGGTTGAGCATGCAAAAGAAAGATTATTATTAGTGCTGTCAAACGATTAATCGCATCCAAAATAAAAGTTTTTGTTTACATAATACGTGTGTGTGTATTTATTATGTACATATAAATACAAACACATGCATGTATATATTTAAGAAAAATATGTTATGTTTATATATTAAATATATTTATATATAATATAAATGTATATACATGTAAATATTTTCAAAATATTTACTGTATGTGTGTGTATTTATATATACACTACCGGTCAAATGTTTGGGATCAGAACAAGTTTTAATGTTTTTTTACAGGAGTTTCTTATGCTCATCAAGGCTGCATTTATTTGATCAAAAATACAGGGAAAAAATGTAATATTGTGAAATTTTATTATGATGTAAAATGACGTTTTTCTATTTTAATATACATTAAAATATAATTTATTCCTGTGATCAAAGCTGTATTTTCAGCATCATTACTCCAGTCTTCAGTGTCACATGATCTTCAGAAATCAGTATAATAAGCTGATTTATTATCAGAGCTGGAAACTGTTGCTGCTTCATGTTTTTTTAGAACCTGTGATACTTTTTTCAGGATTCTTTGATGAATAAAAAGTTAAAAAGAAGAGCATGTATTTAAAATATAAATCTTTTCTAACAATATACACTACCGTTCAAAAGTTTGGGGTCAGTAAATTTTATTTACTTTTTATTTATTACTTTTATTAAAAATTTTACTTGCTTTTATTCAGCAAGGATGTGTTAAATTGATAAGAAGGGATAGCAAAGATTTATATTGTTAGAAAAGATTTATATATTGTAATAACATTTTGCAAGATTACTGTTTTTTTCTGTATTTTTGATCAAATAAATGCAGCCTTAATGAGCAGAAGAGACTTCTTTAAAAAACCATTACAAGTCTTACTGATCCCAAACTTTTGACCGGTAGTGTACATAATAAATATACACAGTACACATACATATATTATGCAAACAAAAACTTTTATTTTGGATGTGATTAATCGCGATTAATCGTTTGACAGCACTAATTATTACTCAAACTCCAAAAGGTGCAATTCATAAAAACACAATTGTGGCCAGGGTGATTGAACCTCTAAATCAACACTGGCGTGATGAAAGTCACAGAAACTAATTCTACAGCCGTGGACCTTTTTTACATTTCCAATTTTTGGCTTCAATAGCAAAAGAAAAATCCACGATAGAATTTCTACGGCTTTACAAAAGAGAGAGAAAAAAAGAAAGATGTCAAATTTTCTATCGTTATGTTAGAAACACACGCACAACAGTGTTAACTTTGCTGTAATTTAATGCCAAAGTAATATAACACAAAGTATAGTGTTATAAATGTACAAATGTAACCTAAATTGCGGGGATCAAATATCCCCACAAGGGCAGTAAACCTGAAATCGGCTATATATTATAGGGACCCACATCACACATTCATTATTACGGACCTGTTACAAAAGTAACAAACTACATAAGAAAATCAGTTTAGTTTGGGGACCAATTTTCACTATTAACTAACTATGACTTTAGTCTCAATAAACTCCTAATGGGTATGGGTTTAAGGATTAAGGGATCTAAAATATGCTCATGCTGAACAAGGTATTAATATGTGCTTTATAATTACTAATAAACGGCAATATGCTGGTAATATGCATGATAAAAAGAGCAACTAGTTAATAGTGAGAATTGGTCCCTAAACTAAAGTGTTACCAGAAAATCTTGTCATTATATTAGTATGTGCGGGAAATCTTAATAAAGCGTGTATTTCTGCCCTTCCTGAAGACTAACATACTATATTAAGCATGAACCACTATTTTGGACCATGCATTTTCATATAGCAGCTGGTCATGTTTTGAAAAGCCCAAAGATCCACTTTAATTTCACCTTGATTCATATATACTTCAAAGCAAATTTGTGCACTACAAAATATTTTTTAGGTAAAAACAAAATTCCATTATTGAGTAATTTTCCTTCCTTTGGTTCACTATTAAGTCTTAATTCAGTGATTTATATTTTGAGTGGTTGGGTTAGATTTGGCAGGAAATTTCAGGTTTATGTAATCTGTCCTTATGTGACTATAACACATCTGTAAGTAAAGAAGGTCTGCAATGACGGGGAAAAGATGATGTTTTGAAGAATACTGGTAACCAAACAACAATGGTGCCCACAGAAAAAAAATATCTTCTTCAGTCTTTCACACAATAAAGCAAATCATACAGGTTAGAAAGGACATGAGGGTGAGCAAATGACAGAATTGTAATTTTTAGGTGAACTGAAAATGTCTTTAGTCTTTAAAGTGTTGGTGTCACAAACAACTGGACCATTTATTTGGATCATGCTGTAAACCATACCAAAAATCACATCATAACTAATGACAAAAGTAAAACCGGTCCCCTTTTTGACGTGCATGTGTAGAGTTGTTACTGTGTTTTTAAAGTCAGATCATGACTAATCACTGTTTTCATGATCGATCATTGGTGTCACTTACAAGCACTCGTGCCAAAGCCTATTGGCTGCATGAAGAGGCCATTAGAGAGGAGCTCGCTATGACTGGACACATGCTGTATCGATCCTTCAGACAGCTAGAGAATACAGCGAGATTTAAAGGATTTTACTTACCAAAGCAACAGACTCCAGAGCTATACATCCACACCGTGACACACACACACACTTCTGTACTGATTCTATATGCAATAAAAAAAAGTGTACTTTTACTGTAGAATTTTTTGTAGGAAATAAACTCTCACTTTTCACACTATTTCATTTGTCCATTAAAAACCAAACAAGACTATGGTTTTACACAATCCATGCCAAATCAGGAGCCATATCAAAATATACAAGTCATATGACCAAATAATCACACCAATTTAAAAAATAACATGATCATGTGACCCTAAAATCAAGTCAACATAGCATATGTGACCCTGGACCACAAAACCAGCCTTAAGTGTAAATTTTTCACAATTGAGATTTATACATCATCTGAAAGCTGAATAAATAAGCTTTCCATTGATGTATGGTTTGTTAGGATAGGACAATATTTGGCAGAGATACAGCTATTTGAAAATCTGGAATCTGAGGGTGCAAAAAAAATCTAAATATTGAGAAAATCATCTTTAAAGTTGTTCAAATGAAGTTCTTAGCAATGCATATTACTAATCAAAAATTAAGTTTTGATATATTTACGGTAGGAAATTTACTAAATATCTTCATGGAACATGATCTTTACTTAATATCCTAATGATTTTTGGCATAAAAGAAAAATGGATAATTTTACAATGTATTGTTGGCTATTGCTACAAATATACCTGTGAGTATATTAAGACTGGTTTTGTGCTCCAGCGTCACAAATAATCTGCAACAAGATAAGGCTACACCAACGTACCTTTAACATTCTATAGCATAACAGCTATAATCTCCAACATTAATGATGGCAAATATGTCAACAACAGAAATCTATGTAAACAGAAATTGATTTTTTTTAATTATTATTAAAACACATGATTAAAAAACACTTTCCCACTATCCTAAATACACAAAATGCAATGTTTTTGCATAATTTGAAAAAAAGCTTGCAGCTTGATTTGAAATAAAGGTATTTGACTCAAGTGATTTTTTTTTGTTTGTTTTTGTCTTGTCTCGTTTTTATCTCAAGCAGGCTCTTCATTGAGTACACTAGCTTTTGATAAAACGTTAAGGGCAGAACCATTGTTAAGTGTGGTGAAAATGATGGCACAACTGTAGGACAGCTGTAATTTTTAATTCTTTACACAAATTTCTTATTAACTTATGTTAATTTAACTTTTTGTTTAGAATAAAATAGTTTTAAAACATGTAATGCTTCGTATTTTTAAAGTACAGAATTCTACAATCTTCATAGTTTCATTGCACAGTCTGCATTTGTTTATTCCAGTGCAATATCTTGGCCCATGCATTGTAAAGTCAATTCAGGGAAGATTCGTAACTGTTGTGCTACAATGTCATCATAATCTGGCACTAATGTGTATTGCTTAGGGATAGTGAAAGTGAAAACCGGCATCATTCTCTCACCCTCGTGTTGTTCCAAAACCAGTACGACTTTCTTTCTTTTGTGGAAAACAGAAGATATTTTGAAGGATGCCAAAAGCATTTTGGTGATCACTTTTTTCAAATTATTTATTTATCTAAGTCATACAGGTTTGTGACGAGTAAACAGTTTTCATTTTTGGGTGAACTATTGCTTTAACAATTCTCAGCATCGGGAAAGCTGCCAAAAACCTTCTTATGTAGGATGCAGGTAACCTTGTTTCATCAGCTTTAACAATATTCCTGACATTAGAGACGGGGTCTAGAAGCAGATCACTATTTGAAAAACCCGAGTCTGGAAAAACACTAAATCTGCAGCACTTCTATTTTTTACGTTGTTTTATCTGATCGTTTAGCAGGCAGAGCAAAAGCAGTTATAGTTACACGAGAGAACACAAGAGCGGTCTTATTTTAGCAAATGTACTTGTGGCCAGGCGCATGTAATAAACACCAGCACCGTCGGTTCGCCGCTTTTTCATCTCTTTCTCTCTTTCCGCAGCCCAGCTCACTGCTGGGCCTGTTGCAAATTAAATTTATTGTAGTTAATAGACTGTGGTGCGGCTGCTAAATGTCAATTTCATTACCAAGGCCTTACCCTTAGAGAATTATGACCTCATTTAAGGCGAGGGGGTAAATGTGTTAATGCGGGATGGCCAGATAAACACACGCGTCCAGCAGCATCATGCCAAGAGTGGGCTATTTTACATGACTTTCAGCTATTATCGCCAGAGGAAAAGCCTTCCCCTATGGCCTAGAAATATTTAAAATCCTTTTGAAAGGTGCTTTTTTTTTGTTTGTTTTTTCTCCAATCCATTAAATCTAGCAG